GTACAGATTTATTTTATATTGATATTTTTATATTTTACCATTCACTATATTTATTTGTTTATGATTATTTAGAATCTAATTTTGGTTAATAATTTTTCTTTTAACGTATGCACAATTCTTTTGTCCAGAGTTTATTGTCAACTCCTACAATGGAGCAAAACAATGAAGATATGGAATATTTTAATTTGATTGAAGAAATGGCTGATGAAATGAGTGAAGAAGAGTTGGAAATTATGGAAGGTGAAAATAGTTTAAAAGACAAAAATATAGATGATGAAATTGGGCATTCTAAGAAAAAACAAAGGAAAAAGAAATTCATAGTTTGGGATGAAATGATAAAGATTACATTTGAAGATGGAACAATCAAAGTGCAGTGTAATCATTGCAAGGGTCATTCTGCTAAGAGTACTACTGGAGCTACTTCTCAATACAATAGACATTTGACATCTTGCTTACAGAGGAAGTTGGCTCTCGGGGAAAAAAATAAGAGCATACAGAAAGTGTTGTCGTTTACGGAATGATCCACTGATGGTACGACTTCTATCACTAATTTTTGTTATGATCATGTCAAGGTTCGGGAACTTGCATCTCACATGGTACTCACTTATGAATATCCATTTTCTATGATAGATCATGTTGTTTTTAATAAATTCATGAAAGCAGTATCTCCATTTTATAAAACAAATTCCCGACAAATGGTTAAGGAAGACTGCATGAGTACTTATTAAATTGAAAAGAGGAAATTGAAATCATTGTTGAGGGGTGCAAGTAGGATTAGTATTACAACTGATTTGTGGAAATCTGGTCAAAAAAATTCAATATATGGTTGTAACTGCGCATTTTGTTGATTTTGGGTACTTCAAAAGCTGAGTGTTGAATTTTTGCAATATCTCCCCTCCTCACACATGAATTATTATAGTTGATGCTTTAAGCAAATTTTTTATTGATTGGGGAATTAAGAATAAGGTTGCAAGTATTACTGTAGACAATGCTTCATATAATAATGTCTGCATTATAAGGCTTAAACAAGATTTTTCTCTTCGAAAAAATTAAATATTGATGAAAAAAAATTTCATGTTTGATGTTGTGCGCATATACTTAATCTTTTGGTGCAAGATGGTCTTGATCAACTTGGTGATGTGATTGATGTTGTTAGGGATGACAAAGTATTTGAATAATTCTGAATCTAAGCTTATTCAATTTGCCAAGATTAAAAAACAATTACAATTGTCATCTAAGAAACTGATTTTGATTGTCCAACAAGATGGAATAGCACATATTTGATGTTGGCTTCAGCTTTAGAGTTGAAGGATGTGTTTCCTAGATATGCAGAAATTGATTTTGGATTCGATATAATCCTTCTGAATTAGAGTGGAAAAAAGTGGAAGAAGTGTGTGAATTTTTAGGGATATTTCATGAAATCACTAATATGATTTCTGGATATGAATATCCATCGGCCAATATCTTTCTTGTGGAGTTGTATAGGCTTAAAGAGTTGTATAGGCTTAAAGAGTTGTTGAATGAAAAAAAAAAAAAAAAGACGATATCTCTGATCACATTAAGTCTATGGAAATTGGTATGTCTACCAAGTTTGATAAGTATTGGGGGGAGAGCAATATTTTGTTATCATAGGGAACAATTTTGGATCCAAGGTACAAAATGGTTCTTATAAATCATGCTTATCCAGTAATTTATGGTGAGAATGCAGCAGAAGATTATGTGACAAAACTAAAAAAAATTCTTCATGAATTGTATGATGAATACGTGAATAGTCACATGTCTTCTCAATCTGATCAACAACAGAGGTAGGCTAAAAAAAAGAAAATAAATGAAGTTACTAGTTCTTCTGGTAAAGAGTTTGGTTCATCAGGTATTTTAATTAGTAGGGAAAAGTTTCATATGCTTTTGAGTGAAATTGATAAAACTCCTCCAGAAAAATCAGATTTGGATGTTTATTTAGAAGAAGGTAGATATGCTTGTGATGCAAATGCAAATTTGGATGTTCTTGGTTGGTGGAAAGGAGAACGATTGAGATTTCCTATTTTATCAAGAATGGCTGCAGACATACTTTTTGTCCCTGTCACAACAGTTGTTTCAGAATATGCCTTTATTGCTGGAGGTAAAGTGATTGATGATCGAAGCGCTTCTATGTCTGTTGAAATGATAGGGGGTCCGGTTATGGAAATGCTATTGTGTGGAAATGATTGGATTCGTAGCCATTATGGACTCAAAAATAATTCTTATGTAAGTAATTTTAGTTCATATTATTTATTTATTTATTTTTCATATTTGATCATTGTATATATTTGTATTAAATTTCTTATATTATTTTATAGGAACGCAATGAGACCGAGTCAAGTGCACTTGAAGAAGTTGAACTTCCTTAAAATTTTACAAACTCGCAATCACGTTATGATTTATTTTTAGTTATTTCAAGGTAAACTTTTATAGTTATTTTATTTACAACTAAAATATACTATATTTTTTTTAGTATTAATTTTTTGATTTTATTAACGCATGTACTAAGTTTTGATCAGAACTAATTTTCTCAGAAAATATTCCGTATAGTTATTTTATTAACGTCACCTCCGGCGAGCCACGCGGGCGTCTCCGGCACCGGAGGACTAAAACAGCGAAAAATTTTCACTTATAGGACTAGTTTGCGACAGGCTCCACTTACGGGACTAAAATGATAGAGGATCCAATTACGGGACTAAAAAAACAATTTACCCTAATTTTTATAATTCTTGTAACAGATCATCTTATCATTTTAATAACCTAATTGAACCTGCATAGAAATAATCTTGTAACTAAATTTTTTATTTTTTTTGGTACAATTGATCTGACAAAAGCTGCAAACATAGCACCCTTATGGCACATCAGAAGATCAAGTGTGCCGAAAAGAATTAATTACTGAGACCATTCTTATACAGAGTCCAATTATGCTACTGAAGTTAGCCCATATGTCAATTACGAAACTAAAAAAAATAATTTTTCCTACATTATATAATCATAAAACTTATCACTATCATATTTATTTTACTTGATTAATTTTAGAATAATAACTTTTAATACAAATATTACTTGAGATAAATTAATCTAGCTCATCTAGATGGAATTAATTATTTATAATTAATACATTATCAAATTGAACATAATAATATTATCTATCAAAATCACCCAAAATGAACAGTATAAAGAGTATGGTATTATCGTGTAATCCATTGCACTATTGTGTGTAATCAATTGCACGTCATTACCATGACAATTCCGCCTAGCTACGGTAATACTTCCTCCGTCCCGCGTCAAATTCCCCAGTTAGATGACCCTTTTAGTTAGATACACGATATTTTAAGTAGTATAAATTAGCAAGTTATTAATAATAAGTTATAATATTATTTTATTATTTTTTACATAAATAGTGTTGTTGGTATTTTAAATATTTTTAGCATTATATCTTAATAAAATATATACAATATAGGAGTATATCATTTTATTAATAATAAAATTTTATATAATACAGATAAATATTAAAAATATTTATTTATTTCTAATTAAAATAATTTTATAAAAAATAGGGAATTTTAAATAATAAATATAAATATTTGTTTATTGCAGAAATAAAAATGTTTTGAATAGGTCACATGTGATTAAAAATTTAATTAAATTTATTTATATTTGTTAAATATATTTAAAATAAATAAATTTATTAAAAAAATAGAAAAAAGTATCTTTTATGAAAAAAAAAAAAAAAAGAGTTGGACAAATGAAGTACTATATATATATATATATATCGGGCCTTACTATCTTCCATAACCTCAATCAATATGTTTTATCTATAAACAATGAATCTACAACCAGGGCCGTTTTTTACTTTCGAAGGGCCCGGGGCAAAATAAAAATTAGGGGCCCTTAAATATATATATATATATAATATTTTTTACCTATAATAAAATATAAATAAATAAATAAAAAATTTCTAGCATAACTTTTAAAAATTGTTTAATGCTCCCTTATATTTTAACAAACACTGTATTAAACCCTCGCCATGCAAAAAATATAGATGAAAAGTCATCTTCTCGATCACCAAAAAAATATAAAAATGAGTTTTATAGAACATTTTGAACATTTTTAAAGTATAAGGGTTCATATCATTTTTAAAATATATAGAGGATTTACACTGAGTTTTGAAATCATAAAAGAGTTATTCATAATTTTGCCTAATAAAAATAATAATTTTGTCTAATATTTATTATTTTTTTAGTGCAAAAAAATAATTAAAATAAAAACAAAAGACCCCTAAATATATATAAATGATCTACTCCGATTTTTTTTACCTATAATAGAATATAAGTCATTAAATAAAATAATTTTTTCAGAATTTTTAGATAAAATATCAATAATAGTATTAATATTAACAATATTAAAACAAAAATTAGGGGCCCAGTATAAATAATATATTTTTTTTATCTATAATAAAATATAAATAATTAAATAAAATAAATTTCTTAATATTTTTATATGCAAAATATCAATAATACTATTAATATTAACTTTGTTTAATTCTTTTTAATGCATAAAAAAATATTTTTAAATTTTGAAGGTACTAACTTAACCACTAGGCCATACTTTTGTATTAATACATTAATGGTCAAATAATTTGTATATATAAATAATTTATATATAACATAAATAAATAATGAGCCCCAATTTAGATTGGGTTCTGAACGGTCGCCCCTTTCGTCCGGGCCCAGGGACGCCCAGTGTACAACACCACATGAAAAAAGTGAGAATAGTGAAGAAAGTAAGTATGCTGAAATCAATTCGAGAGGCATGTAATCACCTGTGGATGCATGACGAGGAAGAAAACAATAAATTCGAAGATTAGGGAAAAAAAAAAAAAAGTGTTTACAATAGGTATACAAATAGAAGTAATCAATCCCTCACCTTAAGGAATGCACTTGTCCAGTTTCTGTCCGATCATTACACCAAAATCTCAGTTTTATTCCTGCAAGCTCACACAGTAGTTTCCATTGTTCTTTGTTCACAGTTCAGGCTCTCTATTTCTAACATCCTAATAATTTGAGTCTCTACTTACATGTCTTGTGCACATATTCTGGTTTGCATCTATTTCCTTTCCTATTTCAAAAATTTATCTATACCTTGTTTATGTTCCTAGATAGCTCGAATAACTTATCTTTAAGTTATCTTTAGCAAGAGAATCTTCAAGCTCTAGTTAATGTCTCTTCTTGCCTTCTAGGTGTAACTTATCTGACAATATTGGATTGCTTTCATCAAGACTCTAATAAGATCTATCAATTTCTCAGAAATCTGTAGGACTAGGACCCTTCTATCACCTAAGTTATTTTCTGGTGTAATTTTTCTGACAATATTCCCGCATGTTCATCTTGACTCGAATTACTCAGTATGATCCATCATTTTCTTGACCATCTCTAGCCCTAGCACCTCTCTGTATCACTTAGGTATGTCTTCCAAATTACTTTGCTACATCTACCAGAAGTGAGATCGAAAGATCGGATCTTCATCAGAAATTGTTACTTCAGGCACACCATAAACTCTGAACTTGGCAAACATAAAGCTTTACCAACCTCCAGCTCATCCTTATTTTAATGAATACGAGTGGCATAATCAACCTATCGAATATAATCCAAACGGCATCAGTTACGAACTTGATTTTCCTATAGTATATGACTAACATTGTTTATTGAAGGATAGCTCATGTAAATTCAGTAGATCTCTTATGTTCAATTAGAGACTGTCGCTTTTGAAACTTTCCAATGCCCTCTTCCTCGTTTCATAAGAAATATTACGGGTTATTTAACAAATGAACATATAAAATCAATGTATTTTAATAAATACCAAATCTTAATACATGACACATAACACAAATGCCTTAGACAGTGATCTGATCACGAACTCGAATGCATTAAAAGGTAAATTTCCAGCAAAACCCAATTTTATTTCTCCCAATCCCAAGTCCAGTGTTGGGTCAGGTACCGCAAGATATTAAGTCAAATCGGACCTTAAAGTTTAAAACCTTATCTTGATTGTTTTTCAGGCATGTCCTACCCGACAATTGCATTTAAAAATTAAATTAAAGAACATTAACACTTGAATGTTGAAACATGTTCCATTTTATTGAGCATAAAGAATACATTTGCACACTTGTTTACTGTCACAAGATTTCAGTAAATGTTGAAGGCATAAACAGACAAATATCTACACTTACTATTGCAACAAAGGAGTTGATGATTCCAATCCATCAATTTCCTCCGCTTCTTTAGCTTTTCCCCACAGCACAGCATAGAATCCAACGACCAACACCACTGCACCAATCAAACTGCAGAACAAAAGGAATAACGGATATTAGAAAACATTTCAGTGCAAATAAGGACTGAAAGGTTTTCCAATTAAGTCTTGCAGAAGTTGTTGAGTTTGACAAATACCTTCCAACATAGAGAACATCACCCATGAAGACAACACCGATTACAACAGCAATGACAATAGTCAATGGTTTAAAAAGGGAAACAAAGAATGGCCCCCTCTTCCATATGCACCAAGCCGTAACATAAAGCCTATATGCTATGTTAATGATGGCCTGCCATCACAGATTGTAAATTGAGCATAAATTAATTCGGGAGATTTAACAATAGTTTGGCGCTGATCATGTGATCAAACAATATTTTATCTATGGCCCACACTTACCGAGTAGAGGACGGCGAGTAACCCAATCTTTGTTTCAATTCGCCATGCCCTTCTATCTCTTTCTGCAATCAGAGTAACAATAGATGACTGGATCATGACGAATAAGCAGTATATAGCCACTACAATCATTTCAGCTGGATACATCTTCAATATGGCAGCCTGCGTCCAGAAGAAAAACATTAAAAGTAACATCATCGGTTTGTTCCCAATTTTTTCTTACTTGGATAAATTCAACTAACCTCAATGTAAAACACGAAACATTTAAAAATAAAGCACACAATTGTACTTTTTTAAATGGTATTTTTTTTTTCTTAAGCCTGAAATAAAGGATTCTTTTGAAGAGCAAACTTTCTTTCTTTCTTTTTCCTTTCAAGTCAATGTATAAACATTTTATATTTTGGTAGAGGAAATAATGTATTTTATTTATGAATTTGGGCAATGTTAACGTAAAGCAAAGTGAAACCTGAAGTATGCACCATGCTGCAGTGGCGAATGAGGCAAAGATAAGCAAAAGTCCCCCAAGGACCCAATTTGGTGTGGATGGCAACAAAAGCTGATTAAAAGATCCAGAGGTTGCAGGTGAATTAAGGATAGCCGGTCCATTATAAAATGTCACGATGAATGCGCCCAGGATAGATGTAATAGTGCCCAAAGATTTTGATATGGTACTTGAGCTTCTAAAATCTAGTTCTTCCATTCTAAGACAAATTAATTAGAGAGTCATTGAAGGTTGAGCCGATATGATATGAGAAAGCTTGACAAAAACAATCATTTTCACAATAACTTGTTTCTACTTCCATATATTAGTTGATTAAAAATATCTGCAATGTGAAAGTCTCACATGATAAGATGCATTAGCTGATTAGCAACCGCAACTGTGACAATAAAATTTTCTCAAAGATCATGTATTAACTTGGTAAGATTAATACCAGAAACAAATATTCCAAATTGAAAAGAGAAAAATGTACTCAGAACATGTTGGTGAGAAATAAATCATAAAATTTGATAAAAATATATAAATTCCAGCTGTTCAGTTCCTAACCAAATGAAGGAAAGCTAATTTATACCCTATTCCACGAGAAATATTGCATCATGATATATTCCTACAAACCAAGCTTCAGTAACCAACTTGTAATGGCCCTAAATCTTCATAGTGGCAGTGGCAGTCATGATATTACAATGTCAGAATAACTTTTATGACCCTAATGACATTGGAAAAAATATCATTATGGTGCAATCTGTAAATTAGCACTTTTCGAGTGCTAATTAGTCTTTAAACTGGAAGAGTTAACAAAAGCCCCCACCCTGCCTATCAGTGGCTTGTCGTAAGAGACTTTGGGCATGTGCTTCCCATTTTCCAAAGTGAAAAGATAGTCTCACTGTCAGAGTCATGTGCCATGCTTGCAGGGGACTTGGATAATCAAAGGCCTTCAACAAGTTGAGTGGTTCCATTGAACATATTGCAAAGTTTCTATCTTCCATCAAAATTTTCCCTAAAATCTCCCTTGTGATCAGATTTTTATTATCTCAAAGCTTCCTCCTGCTGAATTGCAGAAACATTCGGAGAATCTTTGGTTTCCGTAGTGGAATACTCTAACAAGTATCAAAGAATGGCAATGTACACCAAACATTGGAAGACCAAACATATATTCAATGCCATTACCTCGTGTACCCGAGAAGGGCTCAAACTCACCATTTAATGGCTCTACAAAGTTTATGGAACCAACCAGCTAAAGTATTTGCTACTGAATTAGGGATGATCTCTTGGATCTGGTACAAATTATAGTCTTTCCAAGCATGATCTGTCATTCCTGGTCCACATAACCCAATATTTCTCTAAGGCACTGTAAGATATTAACTATTAGGTTAGTTCTGTGTACTCTTGTTTAATGTTGTCTGTTTGTTTCTTCTTATCCACCTCTTTGGTTTCTCTTTATCTTTTCATCTTTCTTTAGGATGACTACAGATAATGTAATACTGTTGTAAAGTTCAATTCAAGTTAGTACAATTCTTTTCCTTTTTCCTTTCAACACAGTAAGAGCGACACATCTCCATTCTCCAATCTTGGCTGGGTCTTCTTTTCTTCAATCGATCCTTAACTAACATCCTAATCCTGAATTGATCATAACCTATGCACCAGAGTGCTCCAGCGAACATGTTGACACCAGATGTGTTGTTGGAATCCTATTCACATGCCTATTCTCACACATGGCAATCAACATCAAGACCAATCAAACTTGGATGGTCAGCTCATTGTTCCTTTTGATTTCAAATAGTCCTATTTCACACTTCAATCGATTGCAACTTCACTATTTCATTTCAATTTCAACTGTCGTAGTTGAAATCCGGTAGACTTTGTTGCCTATTTTGCAATGGCTGCCAATGGTAAGGAATATATGTTCTATTATTCAACTCAGATTAGTAGGATGATGATCACCAATCAATGCTTGAATATAAACAATTATTCATTGTGGTCTAAGAACATTGAGTGGTTTTCAGAAGGACAGATCGTCTTCTCATCTTCAATTTCACCTTCTTAGAGATGCAACCTAGGTGGAAAATTGGAAGCAAATATGCTCATTTATTGCATGTTTTTCTTGATTCTATGAATCCTAACATTTCATGTCTGTTTTTTTTATGTTGGCACGTGCAACCAGGCACAGGATGGTGCGAAACTTCTTAATTCAAGTAACATACTTCTATGATGTATCAGTTGAATTCTTTAAATCCAAACAGGAGAGTTTGCTGATTACTTTGGAAAAGTGAAACTTGTATACGAGGAGTTGAATACTCTGGATGTTCATGACATGCAAAGCAAAGAGAACAATTGATCACAATGACATCTATTGTATGCCTAAAATCTGAATTTGAACCTGGTTCTTGGCATTGCAGATCTTTCCATCTTTTGTTGATGTATATGCAAAGTTATCTCGCTCTATTTCCAAAGTTGTGGCTTAATCTCGTGTCAAAAGGTCCACCTTTATCTCACATCCTTGGACCCATCCTATATATTGTCTTTTCTCGTTCCATGTTGGAATAGACCCGTTTTCTATGCCTATTTCCTCCATTGAGAAACATAACTTTCGACCCATTTGCCTCTCAAACTAGATGGATTCATAGACATGTTGAATGAGGTGGTTGTGGTAGGGAAAACGAGCTCACTATACCCACTACAATATAGAGCATCATGAGGAAAAGACTGTTGAGATAAATATCACACCTTCGCACAACCTAGAAACCTATGTAGGTTCCAATTTAATAGTAGTAGGTGAAACTATTTCAATCCAACCTTGAATCAACAACACATATATGGAAGAGTTAAAAGAGAATGAATAAAAATCATGTATTACCTGAATATAACAGCAAGGGCATAGGTGAATGCTGGAACCAGATTCAACATGGCTGTACTCAGTGTCGGAGAGCTGAAATTTATGCCAGCATAACTACCTATCTCTGCAAAGCATCTAGGAAGAAAATCCAAGAACTTAATGAATAGGCATATCCAGAAAAGATCAAAGTATTTTCTATTTAGCAGGCTACACTTAATGCACAAATTCATGTCGATCTCTACATGAATTGAAGCTTAACAAGCTATGATATAGTTTTAGAAGATAGTATAATATCATTATTACAAAGAATTCACCCATCAAGTAAAACTCAGGAATTAATCAATTACTACATGCCACAACAGAAATAAACCATGCCACGTGAAGCCTAACAAGCAATTCGAAAAAGTTTCCTATATATATATATTTGAAAGCCTAAGAAAAGTTACAAATAACTAATACCAACAATTCAGAAAGTAATAAGTCATTAATCGACCACATTTTGAAATACAAACACCACAGATGGGATTATGGGAAACCAACTAAGAAACACTAATTACCAGCTTAGGCATAATGCAGCCTTTTATATTGGCCCCTCCTTGAAATTAATAAGATGTCTCAAAAATCAACAACTTAGCTAAAACAAAATCTTCCCAGAATGTTGCAGGCATAGCAGCAAATTAAAGATCAACATTATTATTATTATATCCAAAATGCTAATAAGAGGGTTGATTAAACTAACCCAAAAGAAGCAAGCAAGAAAATCCTCCAGAGGACAGGAAACGATAATCGGGGCCTCTGTGACCTGTTCACAACCAAATCGTCCTAAAATTAGACCTAATTTAACAACAAATACACTGAAGTAGAGATCGCCGGAGCAGAAGAACCTGTGGATTAGAAAGGCTGTGGGGAAAAGAATGAGAGCGGCCAAGCCATTAGAGAAGACGGACAAAGTGTAAAAGCTGACCCCATTGGACATAGCCAATTTGCTGATAATCATGTTGAAGGCTAAAGCTATAACTGCTGTCACCATAGCAAGGACGGGCAGGGAGCTTTGAAGCCATGCCCGCCGCCCAGTCGCCATTTCTTCTGCAGGAGATTTCCAACTTCCAAGTAGGAGGCTGGAAGGAGGGATCAATGAATTGATATTTATGCTAATTGCAGCGTCGTATATATTTAATATTATTATTCTTATTTTATTGCTAAGTCCGTCCCACTTTTCAAGTTTATTTATTTATTTATTTATTTTTTTTCCGTTTGTTCCAGTCAGTTTTTTTAAAACAAAAAAAATTATATATTTTAATTTTATTTTAAAAATTTAATTTTAAATATAATAATCATTTATTTTAATTTTAATTTTTAATTATTTTTATTAATATATTTTTTAAATTATCGTGTCTACGGGCAGATAAAATATCCAAGACAAATGAAATATTATTTTATTATTATTATTATAATAGTGACGATCGCGCATTGATCATGTTTTATTAGATAAATATTGTCTTAGGTCATAGTCTCTACAGAACAACAAAGCAAATCATACTTAATCAAATCGTATCTGATTGACAAAATTCCAAGACTCGGAAAGTTTGAATAGTCTACATTTAAATTTTGATTTTCATAAATAATACTCTCTCGTTACATATTTTAATAAAGTGAATAATAATTATTAATTTTTTTTAAAGTAAAAAATAAAATAAAATAGAAAAGTGTAATAAATTTTATTAAAAATGAAATTAAAAATATTATTGTTGATGTATTTTTTCAACAAATAAAAAGTGAAATTCGAAAATAAGAAATATCTTCGAATTTGGTACAATTAGTGCTAGAAGCTCTAAACAATGTAAAAACAAGTAAAATAGAAACTAAATGCTACAATACTCGAAATTAAAGAGCATTTTTTTATTTGATGTCGATTGAAGATGATTGAAGATACTGGAACCAACTCTTTAAATACTCCCTAAGAAGCGTTTCGGAACTGTCGCCTGGTTGATTACAGCAACCGCCGTCAACCGCCCATTAATTCTTCTTTCATTGACACGCGTCTCCACCGTTTCACCAACCGTTCCCACCAGTTGCAGAACTCAGAACTTGCCTCTTACCCGACCTGCATGTCCACTGCCATGTTTCTTTTGCCCGACTTCGTTTCGCCCTACCTATGTGCTACCCGACCAATCCAGAGACTAATTGGTCGCTAGACCAAACGATTCCTTGGCCGCCCCATCAAGCGACCACCATCTGGTCTCTTGTCCCACCTTGTGTCGTCTGTCTCATTCTTCTTCGCCCGACCTCCATATCAGCCGATCTGCTTCTTCGCCCGACCTCACTTGGTCCGAACTCCGTATCAACCGACCTCCATATCAGCCGACCTCCGTGTCATCCGACACAACCGACTACGGCCCGCCCGACCTGCTCAACCGACTTTGGACCATCCGACCTACTTAACTGACTGAGAACCAACCGAATGAGAATCAACCGACCGCGGATCAGCCGACTAAGAACCAATCGACCGTCGATCAACCGACGGCGAAACAACCACCTCCGGTCGCCTTATCTCCTTAGATGGACGGCTGGTCCAACCGACTTCCTTTTGACTCTGTTACCATACCGTTTTACCTTGGCCCGTCCGTGGGTTAACCAACCAACTTACTTTGGTCGGACTGCAAACCAACCGACCAATTTCCTTTGGTCAGACTGCAAACCAACTGACCTGCTTATCCGACTGCGTACCATCCGATCTCCTTTTCGCCCGACTTCCTCTTTCAACCGACCTTTGGGCTGTTTGGCTTATATTCAGACTCATCCGAAATCCTACTGCCATTATTATTATTATTATTATTATTATTATTTGTCCTCAACAATTATTTTTTATAACAACCCAAAATAAAAAATGAGTATAAATTTAAATGTAGAAGAGAGTAATAATTTTAAATTTTTGAAAATTTTAATAATACCGAAAAGTTAAATTATTTATTACATAAAATAAATATTTAATACAATATTTTTTTATAAATATATATTAATAAATAATGTTAAAAAAATGTATACATGTGTTCACTCAATAGGTAAATGGGGACTTTTCTCATTTTAAAAATGTTTTTGAAAGTTTTACATTAAAAATAATTTGATAATACTACAAATTAAGATTTGATGTATAATTGGTTATTAGATTAAATAAATATTTAATATAATAATGTTTATAAAAAAATTATTATTAAATAATATAAAATAATAAAAATAAAAATGTATACATAAACAACTAATGTGTTCATTCAATATAAACAGTGTTTGTTTTTTATTTTAAAGCAAAAATTTTACTATTTATTTTATATGATTTTTAATAAAAAAAAATATATATACATTAATTTTAACACATAAGAAACCTCTTGTGTCCTCTCTATCCATTTCTTCATTAAACTAATTCCTATTCATCGTGGAGCCAAGCTGAATTCTTTTGAGTTTGATCAGCTTTCCTTTGAAATGAAATCGGACAGTATACTCCGCAAAATTCATAATTACTTGTCTAAGTTAGCTAAGTAAATCCACCCCAATTACCATATCACAACCTTCTAACTCAGAGGAAAAAAGTACTCGATTCTACCACTGTAGTGCCCAATCATAGTCAAAAGAAGAGGGATTAAGAGGTTCATTACCCCTAGCCGAAGGTTCTGATTGTGGCTCTTTACCAAGCTTAAGAACTGAGCTTTCAACGTCTTCCCTAGGCTTTCCAATTTCGCATCCAACTTCGATTCTAACCTAGCCTCCATTTGAATTTGGCCTTGCAACGTTGCAGTTTGTCCTTCCGTCATCTTCTTCGTCTGTCGCTCTAGAGTATTCAAGCGGTGCGTATAAGATTGCGTCATCAGAAAATACAGCAAAGAATACTAGCTCTGATGCCAAATGTCACGCCTTCGGCAATGGCGTGATTGGTGCTAAAAGGAATAAGACAGCTAGTTTGGTTTATTTCTCGATTAATTTCCCGCATTGCTGCTAATACGTATTTATAGTTTTCATTACAAATATTAAAGGAAACGTATTTTTATATATTCAGTGATTTCTATCTTCTTCTTCTTCGTGAAAAATGTATATGATCGATTTGAATTTGTGAGTTTGGCGGTAATTAGAATTAAACTTTTGAGTTTTCTGATCGATTTGAATTTGTTGATTTTGGCATTAATTATTATTAAGCTTGTGAGTTCTCTTCATGTTCTTACCATGTTTAATGGTTTTGTCCGTGTGAAAAGAAAAGAAACACCAAACAATTAACTTAGAACTAACTTGCGTTTTTAATCCATTACATATACAAGCATCTCGTTTGATACAATAATATATGCAAAAAATTCAATCTCTATTCTTTTGGAGAATTTATCCGAATGGTTTTGTCCATTATAAATATAAAAAGTTGTTTGAAATAATGTACAAAATAGAATGTTTAAAGAATATTAATGAAAAATAGAGTTATGATTAAAGTAAAAAAAGTACTATAGTATGATTAGAGTACATTGCAATATTATTATTAATTATTGTTTTTTTTTTTATCAGTATTAGTTATTGTTATTATTATTATAATTAATATTGGTTGAATGACAATCACTTTAAATATATATATATATATACATATTTTTATTTTATTAGTATTATTTTTTTTAATGACGTGGAAATCCGCAGTCGCTACCAGAAAGTGTACTGGGGTAAACTACCGGCCGAACCTAGGCCCGAAAAAGCAAATCATGCGAACTATGTGTGTCAGGTAATGCATTGAAAATTTGAATTCATAATTTCACGGTGACACTATATACATATTTATATCGAAATCTATAAGATATAATAATGTATATAAATAGTGCATCCAATTGTATTATTATTATTATTATTATTATTATTATTATTATTAATTTGATTTTATTATATGATATTCAAATTAATACAATGTTAAACTTTTGCAATCATTTAAATTGAAAGATGTCCATCTAAATCATATATTAATAATGTTAGATATTTTGATACTTTAATATATCTTATAGTTTTACATTTACCAAATGTGAATCATAGATACCATCATTTGTAGACAAAAAATAAAATAATAATAATAAAATGAGGGAGTGCTTCCTTTTAATAAAATTATAATATACATGCAATAGTATTTTTAAACTTTTCTTCTTACAGTCTCGTGTTATTACTTTTTGGTTTTTGAATTTCTTACTTAATTATGTATTTTTTTAATTACTATTCATTTCCTTCCCCATTAAGGGGTACAATTGTACGAAATTTAAAAAATAATTATATTTTAATTGTAGTGGCAGTGGTAGTTAAAAGTAGAGAAAAATTTTGTTTTTATTTTTGGTAAAATAGCAAAATATTCTTTTGTAATTTTTTATAGTTCTAAAATTTCAAAAAATCTACTGGTGATTTCCATCCGAACCTAATACCCTGCAAATCAGGTCTGACGGAAAAGTCAAATTAGGCGCCACCAAGCCATCCCTTACGAATTCAAATTTGATTTTCCCTCAATTTTTGGTAGCTCTGGGAGCACAATTCTCTGACTTAAAAATTAAAAAAATAATAACAAAATGAAAAGAAATTTTTTTAATCTTCTAATAAATTATATTAAAAAAAACTTTCAGAAAAATAAGAAAGAGAAAGAAGACTTGCAAAAATAAAGTAGAATACATGAAAGAAGGTGGAGGAACAAAAAAATACATTTAATAAAGCCAAAGAGAATATTTTAGTAATTTCATATAGAGATATGTCAGTTGATCAACCAAAAATCGCATTTCATACATACTATTGCCGTTAAGTCTTAACGGAGAGAGATTTTTCTGCAACATTTTAGAAACCATGAGTATATTTTTTGAAATTTTAGAACAATTGGGTGTTTTAAGCAAATTCGAAACACCACAAAGGAATTTTTTGCTATCTTGCCTTTATTTTTCAATATACATATAATTATATGAATATATGATGGTAAAAATAGAGGTATTTGTAGAAAAAATCGAGTTCATAGTTACTAAAAAAGATATATACATTTGTTGTTGAGCTTGATTTGTAGCATTCATTGGACTTCCTGTATAACCAGTAATTGGACTTTTCGGTAGTCGATATTTGACAAGATTCCGAGCTAATAGAGACATTTC